AATAGCTACTATTATAGCTCTAGGGCCCGAATCTAAAGTGCCTATTTCCCATATGCAAACCAAGACTTATGTATTATTTTTTTACCATAATTGTCAAATAATAGAAAAGATTTGGAATAATTATTAAAGAAAAATAAAATATCACAGGGTTTCTTTCATTACTCCGCACATAGGCTTATTAAATATCCTTTTTCTTGCGTATTTAATTAGTTCTCTAAACTAATCCCCTTATTCATAAAAACGAAAACCTTCTATAAATCTATTTTAAAAAGTACACTCTTTTAACACTTTCAAATTGAGAATTGAACTAAATAAAAGACATAATAGTTCAATAGCCAAAGTAGATTATGAGAGATTTGATGTTTTTATGAATAAGCAGGTAAGTGTACAAAACTCTTAAAAAAACCTTTTTAAATAATTCCAAAAGAATAAAAAAGCTGGACCACTATTTTAAGCTGATAAACAACCGTATAAACGAAGAGAAATAGAAAAACGTTTTCAACTTAATCCACCGCATTTCTCAATCTAAAACAGGAACTATTCGACCGCGAGGGACTATCCGCCTTATTTTTTCTTCAAGATGGATGGATCTTATATGCAATGCCGTTTTTGTAGATTTCAATGGTAATACAAATAGTTTTTTTTTTTCTTATTTACAGGCCATCCAAGTGCAGGTATATCAGATTATTGTACATATGTATGTAAGATTGAGTATTCAAATTTCAGTATTTGAGTATGCATAAATTAGTATGATAGTTCATGTCAACTACAATGTGAATACAATTGTATCGAAAATAAAAATATTAAGTAATTTTTATTTGCATATACTTCATATTAATATTACTACATATTGCTTTGTGGTCCTGGCGTAGGATGATCCACTCCTTTTCCCGTGAGTATCGTAAGAGGTTACTAAGGGAATTTAATCGTCGAAGGATGGGCAGCAGCATCTCTTTTAAAACATCTATTTTTCAAAACCCGTACCTACAAACATTTAAAAGGTGGGCAACGCAGAAGCAACTTCTCTTATTTTGCTGATGTACATGGACGACGGCAGGCGCTTTCCATCACATGGACCATCTGCTCGTTTGTCTCCTTCACAATAAAAAATCACTAAGAGCTTAACTGCGGTTTTTAAGCCGTCTGTCAAGCGTAGCAACTACTGGCAAACCCACCCTTATGGGGAGGCCTAGTTCAGTAATAGACGGTTAACGGCTGATGTGTTGTGAGGACATAAATTTAATCATGGAGTGAATTTCAAATAAACTTTTTTATTAATATATCAACTGTCGGTTTAATTTACGTTTAATTTTGTCAAGACTAAATTATACGTAAGTTAAACCAGTTGTTATTCAATTATAATGTGTACTTAAGGTATCTTTTAATAATTAAACTATTTCTTGAAGAAAATGTCCAGTTGTCTATTAATCCATATCACAATAATTGTATATAAAGCCAACAATTAAGTATAATTTATAGGCAATTGTACTTTTATAGCTATTGACAGCTGTATCGAATGACACTTGAACACAGTCTAAAGATATTACTTTCAAATCCCAAAATCAATAAATTATGGTTGAATTGTCTAAAAATTACTGTTACTTGCTGCGTACTTTGAAAGGCATGTGAAACCCGTTCCGATCCTTTACGATCCGATAATTCACGTCAGAGACCTACATGCGTAATACAGACGAAATTATTATCATCAGAGGGTAACACCCTCTCACGAATGGTAGCAGTAGCTTGAAGGGTAGATTTATGGTTGAAAATGGAATGGTAACCCCATCTGTGCTGTCAGTATACACCGGTGGGGCACCAATGAAACGATGAAAGCAGACTATTGACCTATCGTGACGAATTCCACAAAAAATAATCACGACGGTTTCCATGCGTAACCGCGTGGAGGTTGACCTCATAAACTATATTGCTAGCAATGAGGCTATTAGATCCCATTATTAACAATTCCCTTTCCCCCTTAACTCGAAGGGTTATGTTAGTCAAATTACAGAGTATGGAGACATAATACTTTAATCCACAGGAAAGGGAATGCAGCGATACTATAGGCATTAATGTATTCTGTGATATTCATTGTGCAGCTAATATTTACAGACGACGGTTGTTACTTTCTATGGGGCTGTCTGTGAAATGCCATTCTGAAAACACGTCCTTCTAAGCAATAAGAATGGAAATGAAACAGACGTGCCTGGAGGTATAAAATAAGAATATTTTTATTCAAGTTAACTTCATTATACGTATTTTTGAATGGTATTTTTTAAATTCAACGGCTCATTCGAAACGTAATTGCAGCCGAGAAGATCGAGCAAGAAAATTAACTAATGTTTGTTTTGACAGAAGCTGTTTTTACAATTTTAGATTTGTGTCAATATAGACATAATAGTCAATATTGGCACAACTATTGACGTAACTATAGACAAACAGTATAAGAGTTATTTATATTATTAGATAAATCAAGTCCATTATTGTAAATATTACGAGTATATTGAATTGTATGTTAAACAAGATATAAGTGAATATAACCCAATATTTTTTTGTAATACCAAAGGCATAGCTAACGCTTTACAAATGGGTGGAGTACTGTAAGGACCTGGCGGTCTATCGTGAAATGAAATTCTGAAATTTCGGACTCAATTTCGTATTTTTTTTATACCAAAATCGGATCAATAAATGGAGTTTAACATTTCGTTCGTCATACATCCTATCCTAATAGTCCAGAGGAACGATATTTTAACATTTCTAATAATTTTAAATGGCATGTATTATGTAATTTTAACATCATATTTCTGTTTCGTTCGTCCCCGAAGTTTCGGAAAATATTTCACGGTAGGCCCTCTGTTTTTAGTAATAACTAGCGTTATGCTTGCTACTTCGTACGTATAGATTTCAAAAGCAGGAAAACCAATGAACTGACTACTTCTAGACAGACATACCGTGATGTAATACAGTAGATTTTAAGACCTTCAGACCTTGAGTAGCAGAAATGAAGAAGCTGTATTCAATTTAGTGTAGTAATTTCTGCTTGATACCGGATCAAACATACTGACTGATAAAATTCATAAAAATTATTAAGATCCTTCATATTGATTAATATCATAATTGTCTTAGTATCCGTCATGTACAGACATCATGTAAAATACTTACACATACTCTTTCCGTGTTGAACAATAAGGCATGACTCAATACTATTCATGTAGGCAACATTGTTCAAAATTTTGGCAGTTTTCTTTCATTTTAAAACTATATATATAGAATGACAAAAAGTATTTTTTTTTATACAACTTAGAATGGCAAACAAGCTGACGATCTACCTGATGGAAAGTGGTATCCGATCGCCTATAGACATGAGCAGTACCATGGACATAACAGAATATATTGTTTCGCCCATGATACACCCCATGCGTTGCCATTCCTGAGGACTCAGGTGTTATTCCTCTGTACTCAGTAAATTCACGCCATATCCCACCCTTCAAACCGAAACACAGCCATGCAAACACAGCTGCTTCACGGTTGAAACACGAATAGGACAGAGGTACCCAAGCAATCGACTTTTGTACAAAGTCTCCCTCTGGTATTGTCCAAATGTTTCTAAATGTGTCTAAATGGTTTTAGAGATCCCTGTGTTTGTATAGTGACACAGATAAACTCGACAAATAGACTGATAGATTATGATCTCAGTTTCAAATTAATCCTCATTTTAGGTCAGACAGTTATCACGCCAGAATGATTAATAATCAAATACAAATTTAATATAAAGATTGAGAATAATATCACATGTTTATATTAATGGAAATGAAACGAGGCCGCAATTGCGTGGGTATTTAATGACTACAATTGAAAACGTCAAGTGAACGATTGATCATTATCACGTAAATTACAATATAGTTTTGAGAATTTCAATCCATGAATGAGTTTTGGCGTATACCAACAGTACCTAGTAATTATCTTCAGCGTTAATGAAACATGTCTCTATAGGTAGGTACAATTAATTCAGTATAGGTCTCGAATATGAAAATTCGAATACGGTATTTATAGTTTGTTCTGGGAAGTATTGTTTAACTAAGTATAGTATTATATTGTCTATGACTAATGGCTTGTATTTCTATATATAAATATTTTAATCTATTTTTTGAAGAGCCCAAAATTAGTAATGTGCTTTTATTTCTGATTGAGAAATAATCTCTGTAGTTTTAAAGATTGATTGAAATAATTAAACCGAGCAACGGCATTTTTTATAAAAATTACTATTTTTATAAAATAATTAATTGTTAAAAACTCTAAACAAAATTAATTAGCTTAATGTAATATAAAACTAATTAAAAATATTTTTTTTTAAAAACTGCAATTATAGTGGATGTGGACCTCAAAATTTGTCAATTACTTCTTTATTAATCTTCTCTCTTAATTATTAATTAATTAAACTACTTAATAGTTCAGACGTTAGTTTCGAATTTAATATTCTAATGGCTTTTAAAGCACCCACTTATCTATTCTCTATACATTTCCGTAAATAGCTGGGGTTCTATGCTTCTGACGTAGAGGGTCTACGTACTCTCGTAAACCCTCTGCATCAATTGCTTAAATAATAAATAAATGAGATATATGTATATAATAAATGTAATATCAATAATTATTAACTGACACTAAATTATTAAAATAATTTAGTATGTTTTAATTCATGAAAATGAGTTTCTTTGAAAATTACTATGTTCGCATTTTGATGAGTTTTATCTATAATAATTTTACTTATACATACTTAACGTGAGAAGATAATTATAATTAGCAACAAATTATAATATAAAATAAAATAAAAAAAACACTAATTAGACAACATATAAACATTCGTAGGTAGTGGCACTAATTGAGGTGCGCTACAGCCGCTTTCGGCTGCAATCTGTAACACGCGACCAAAGTTCAACAAATCGGAACACAGACCAACCCTGTTACTATGCTAATTTTATCAGGAAAAAAACACCACCACTTACCGGCAGCAATTGTTGGTATTGCAGCGCAGTAATATATCACGAACTTGGCACGATCCCACTTGGTCGCACGGTACACAAAATCACAAGTCACAAAAAATTTTGTTCACTATAGGTCATCCGTGTGCACGCATGTGCGTTGCGGACGGGCACTAATTCACGTCACTAACACTATAGGGTACACCAGTTCTTTTTTGGCCACTTGTGACGGTAACAGGCGTCCTCGCACTCGACGCAGCCTCAACTGGCTGGGGCGACGCCAACGCGCGTGTCCTTAACCCCCCAACCCCTCTTCCCGCTTACCTCGCGGTACGAGCAAATAGAAATAAAGTATGCGCTGTAAGGACAGGGAATGTAGAAAAAAGACGGATCTAGGTGCTTTCAGGGTTGGTTAGATATTTCGAATACTTATAACGGATCTTTAATGAAGTTATAGACGTAGTAAATGTTAAGTTATGAAGTTGTAGTACTTTGAGAATGTTTTGTAGAATTTCCACTTTTATCGTTTTCTTTCGATCTGTTGCTGTATAAACAGAAAGCTTGCAGTAAAGCCTACGCAGACGTAATAAAAGTCGCGAAGTACTTTATTGCTTACTTTTTGTTAATTAATTCCTTTTGCATTATATTTTAATGCAATTTTATGTAATCTATTATGCTTTTGCTGTATGGTCCCGGTATAGAATGGGCCACTCCTTCCTTTCACGTGAGTGACCTAAGAGGCGACTAAAGGAACTTAATTGTCGGGGATGGACAGCAGTATCCCACCTAACATCACCAAAGCCTTAATGCGATTACTAACTCGTCAGCCAAGCATGGCAACTATTGGCAGAATTCCCTTATGACGGAGGCTCAGTATATACTGAGCAATGAATAGTTGTCTTATTCATTGTCCATATTGTCTTTGTGTTCACTTGGTACGATTTGGTTATATGTCGTGCTAATATATGCATAATAGTAAAAAAAACATATGAGTGTCTCGTAACAATTACTTAACAGCCATATAAAAATAAATTAGTTGTCTTAAACTCTCAAAATCTCAATGAAATGAAAAATGCTGCTTTTCAAATGACTTCAAAAAAGGTGCAGGATTTTAATTCGATTTTAATTTTTTTACCTTATAACTCCGTCATTAATAATATTTTCATGATTTATTTTTTATTCTGTAAGAATATACTCTTTGTAACATAGAAATTTTATCAAGGCGCACTAGTTTGGTTTTTAAAATGAAAATAACTAATTTTATCGCAATTGAAGAGGGTGTTTTTTTGTTTTGCGGATTAAACCTTACCTTCTTACCAGAGGGAGACTGTACAAAAGTCGTTTGCTTGGGTACCTCTATCCCATTCGGGTTTCAACCGTAAAGCAGTTGTGTTTGCATAACTGTGTTTCGGTTTGAAGGGTAGGATATGGCGTGAATTTACAGAATACAGAGGAATAACACCTGAGTCCTCAGGAATGGCAACGCATAGGAAGGGGGTACCATAAACAGTATACTCTGTTATGTACATGGTACTGCTCATACATATAGGCAGCGGTTATCGCTTTCTATCAGGTCCGTCAGCTTGTTTGCCATTCTAAGTTTTATAAAAAAAAAATTAATTTAGAATTTAGTAACCTGTTCATATTCACTTAAAGTCTAATTTATATTGTGAAAATAGTGGCATAAATGATATTAATTTTATCCATCGTTCTACATCTATATCTTTAATTTGTTGTTATTCATACATAAATCTTATAATACCTGAATATTTCTGTTCACTTCTAATATAATTGCTGGAATATAATTTTCATACCTGTATTTTAATATTATTTATATTTTCAAACGTTTTTGTATTCTACACAATCGGGGCTTATGAAATTAGTTTCAATATCCCTTCTTTATGAAAATAAAGATATTAAATTACATTATGAAATAACTACCGCTGTTTTATAACGTAAATTCCTCTTAATCATTTTTTTATTGAGATTATTCATACAAGGCTTTTATCATAATAACTTGTAGATTGAAAATAAATTACTGCTTTATAATAATATTATATACGAAACGTATAAAACCGTTAAATTATTCTATACAAGCTATTACTCGCGACTTCGTCCGTATAATTGTATATTTGCTGACCGAAATAAAAAGTAACCTCTATCGTTCTCCACCTATACAGTACATGTATACTAAATAAATTAAAGCTAGGCAACAAACAAGTCGTTTTCACATTTATAATATTAGTAAGGAGTTTTTCGAGAATGTAATTAATATTTTAAAAGTTTTGTTTTTATAAAATTATGGTTTGTGATTAAAGGAACTATAAAGTAGAATAATTTTTTGAACCAACAAAAAGTCAAATCGATGTCAAATATAAAAAAAAAAATTAAAAAGAATATAGAAACAAACCAATGGCAAAGCTGCCAGCTACATATTTAATTTCTTACTACAGTCAATTGGATTGTTAATCGTATAAATAATTAATGTATTATTAGAGTCAATTTCTATAGACGGGTATAGACATAATACCTCATATATTAGCCCATAATTTAATATTTTTTAATGATATGGATATTTTGTGAAATTGTTTCGTGGAATAGTTTTACTGGAGTAGACTATAATTTCACATTTTATATGAGTTTTAAAAGGTTCCTAATTCTAGATGAATTACCTGTATAAATTATATTTTTGTCTGTATACTATGAAATTATTTATTGTGTAATTTTATTATATATTTATGAAATTATATTAACGTTTCTGAACTGATTTTAATAATTATTTTTGAAAATAATTATTTATTTGTTATATAATACTATATATATATATATATATATATATAAATGATCGAGAGGTGGGCAGCATCCCTCTCCAAGCATCATCAAAACCTAATTACGGTTACTCCTGCCAGGCAACAGTGGATAGTTAATGGCTGATGATGGTGATGACTCAAGCATTAGTTAAAAATTGTATACCATATTTATGACAATTTAATATGCAATATTTTAATATTTTAAACGTAATGTATTTATTTACAAACCGTCTCTTATTTCATAGTTACGATATTCGTTTTAAAATAAAATCTGTAAATTTAATTTACTAATATTAATTTTGTCACGATTGTGTCATTCCTTTCGTTTCGTGTGACACATAATCTATTTGTTTAGTAACATGACTAGGACTTACATTATTAAATAGGTATATTTTTATTGGCAAAAAAATAACAAACTAGACAAAAAAAAAAACAGACAAAAATCACAACAAAATTATTATAATACTAATAGGACTAAAACCTGTTATAATTATGAACATCAGAAATTGTAATTGGTCATTATTTAATAGAATAACGTCTTAACTGTTGGAGAAATTGGAATGAAATTTATTATACAAACATACCATTTATGTTATTAATTACTACGAATATAGATTCATTTAATGACATATTATTTCAATATATGTAATATCGATTGTATACTGTAAGCAATTTCACCTAAAACATTCGTAATAAACCTTTTAAATCGTTTACTATCGACCTTGAATGGTGAAAAAGTAGGTCAATTTAGTCTAATGCTCGACCTAATTGCTTACAACATAAAGATCAATTTCTTTAACTTCGACAAGCCTCAGCGTGGGTATTCGAACGCGTTTGTGAGTGAATTAATTTTTTTGTACATTATACATGCAACCTTTGGCATGTAATTTATTTTGAAATCTTATCTTTCTAATATAATACAATTATAACTAGACAATGTTTTTACATAGGATATATTTAAGGAAAAATAATATGAGGGTTCTTAATAAGACCAATAAATGCCAAAACAAAACTTTTTTGAAATTTTGTTCCAGAATCACGTAAAAACTATTACATTAAATTGAATGCACTTCTACTGTACTAATATATAAAAAATTTAACAAGAATATATCTGTACATGAGATAATAAAAAAATACACATAAGGCGTCTTAATAAAATTGGTATATACAAAAACATTTTTTTTTTAGAAATTTTGTCTCTATATTTGTTCTGGTATCATACAAAAACTACTGAACCAGTTGTGTTCTAGAAGGTCTAACATAAAATTTGATGTATGTTTTATCTTGATACGCCATATAGGAGCGGTCTATTTTATTAATTTCCCTACTTCGGAAACCACGCGTACGAAGTATCGGGTAAGAAACTAATAAATAATAATCTCATTTAAAAAAATACTTGTATTTGTATTTTTTGAAAAATAAAATATTTATTGTTACATTTCATTGAATAAATAAAGCCTAAATATTTCTATCTTTCTCTTTATTTATCTTCCTTTCTTACACACGCACGCGCGAACGCAGGCACGAACGCACGCACGTTCGCACGCATGCACGCACGCATTCACGCACGAACGCACGCACACATGCATACACGCATGCACACACTCACACACGCATGCATATATACATGCTCTAAATAGCTACGATGGAAAATGAGGGATAGCATGGACGTCACGGCATATTCTGTGACATCCATGGTAATAAATCAAATAAAAAAAGAAAAGTATTTAAAATGCTTCACACGTTCACATGGACTGATGAATAAAACTCCGAAAAGAGGTATCCCAACGTAGGTAAGTTACCCACCTACTGTTTCCTCGGCTAATGTGATTACATGGGTATGGGTTGGCCTCCGTTTTATTTCCCGAATGCATTAATGAAACCCTCAAGACAAGGGACAAATTAAGTCGGTTGCAAAAGGCTCGAAACATAAACGGAGCTATTGTTATTTTAACAAAACATTTTTACTACATTACTGAAATATTTTCTTTTTATTACTTTTTAATTCAACTTTAAAATACAAATATGCTGGAGGTTATAAGGGTTCATATATCTATGCTCAGTTATTTAATTTAACTGCCATACCTCAACTTTTAAACTAATATAAAATCATGAAAGCATGTCCGTTTAGCAATAGACATAAAAATACAAAGATAAAGGAAAATAAAAATAAATACTCAAGCAGATGACTTTACAGTCTCATTGTAGTAATTTTTTTTATAATACCCCATCTGGTGGAGAGTAGAAACCGTCGCTTATAGACAGTAACCGCACCATGGATATTATATAATATGTCCATGGTGCAGTAACCGCACATATTATATAATGTCGGTTACTACCCCTAATCCCGTGTGATAGGGGGAAAAGATTTTTAGTAATGGGGATGTTAGTCCCCATTGCCATCGAAATACCCTATCAGGTCGAACTCCACACGGTCCTTGGAAACTATCGTGACTAATTTATCAT